TTCAGAACACTTACATATTAAATGAATGAATTCAAAGACTTGTTATTGGTATTTTGTTTGCCTTAATATGGGTGTCATGAAAATGAGTGACTGGGCTTTGATATCTTATAATACATTGAAAGTTATATTATTTTTGACATAGGCGCTCCCCATGTAATTCTGTAAATAACGTATGATAAGTATATATGTCTACCCCTCTATTATAGAGGGGTAGACCTATATTTACTTAGCATACGTCATTTACAGAATTATATGGGGAGCACCTATGATTTTTAATAGTTGCACTAAACAATACAAACCAGGAAGTTTTTGTAATAGCAAAAAGCAAATACAAAAAAATCTATAAGAAAAGTGGATGCCTCATTAACACCCATATAATATGACTGTCCTAATCACCTCAGTGTTTCTAACTTTTGGATTATTATGCAGGACACAAGGTAGGTAATGGTATGTTGATACTTTATGGTGTGACTGACTATATCTATTGACTTTTCTATTTAGAACAGTTGATTCATTTAATTTATCTAGTTGAGCCTGTTAAAAGATAAAACAGATCTTTGTTGAAGATTTGCAGACTTTTTTGAATCTCAAACAATTATGTGACTATGAGTAGTTTTAGTTACATGTACTGGATCTTATGTTGATGATGTTACTTTCTGTTTGGTAGAGTCCTCTTGCCTCTTTCAATAAATTCAGTTTTCCAGTTTCTTTAAATAATATAGTCGTATGTCTTTAACATATACTCTTCAAAAAAAGAAACGCATACTAGGAACAATGCCCTGAAAAATGTATGATAGTTTTGTCATACCTTTTATTTTCGTATGGATACTATGTATTCAAGTGAAATGCATGATTTTTTAATGCAATTGTTAACTTTACAGCTCTTCTACAAGTCTAACAGACAAAACGACCGAATTTTGCAAAATTTCCCCAAAAATTTTGATCTCAATTTTCATTTTTTGAATTCGGATGCGATTCCTTCAGGTACAAAGGGCTATCAAAAGCGGGGGTTCTCGATATTTTGAATCTGGTTTTATCTGAAAAATGACGCTTCCTAAAATTGCTGCATCTGAATGTTGCGTAGCACACAAAGGAAAATGGGCGACTGGAAGCAGGGGTACCACAATCTATAATTGCAAGAGGTTTTAATGTTACACACAGACCATATCTAACCTATAAAACATAAACCATTAACATCGAACACCAAATACTTGCAAAAAATATGGTAGACTACGTGTGACATCAGCAGCACAACATCACTTCCGAGCATTACGTAAATTGCATGAATGTAATGCAAGGACGTCATCTAAAGCATTAGCTATCACTGAACTGCACATATCATCTAAGAAGACCGTTTTCAGTTGACTGCGAATTATTGCAAGAGGATTATTCATGCCATTGGTCCGACCCCACAACACCCCAAGCATCGACTTCAAAGATCTCAGATCAATAGAGTGTGACTACAGCATCACTGCTGAACATTTTGGTTAACCTACTAGTCAAGAATGTTTATCTGAAAGCCTCTAATAAGTTAAAGAGTGCTAATGCTTTGTAATGAATGTTAGACAGATAACTGCCTCCAGGACGTTAAAAAAGTTGGTGGTGGTAGTGTTATGATATGGAAAACGGTATTATAAGAAAGTAGGATTGATTTGGTTCGAATCCAATGGACTTTGATGGAAAAAGGCACTCTAACCATGTTCTACCTACACATACCCATTCAATTTTGCAGCATCCTAGAGCTGTATTGCAATCTCACAATACACAGCCACATACAGCTCGTTTGACACACTTATTCTTGCAAATAAACAACAATCTGTTTCAGTCACAGTCATCTCAATCGCTAGATTTAATCCAAATTATGCAATATTGGACAAAATGGTTTGAAATGATTTGCCAAAGACAATCGCATCCCCAGACTCTGCAACAGCTGACCAAAGTTCTACATTTGGAGTGGGAGAGTATTCCTATACAGTTTTTATTACACACATTTGCTTCCATTAGATGCCGTTTGTGGCTATCATTTGTGTCTGCGGGGGGCATACCAGATATTGATCTTTAATTACCTTAAACTGCCTAGGATTTTAAAATCCTTGAGTAATTATGACATTTAGATTGTATTCCTATTGTTAAACACATTTCTGTATGTTAAATAATCATATTTTTAAAAATAACCTATATGTTCAATGTGTCACTAAAATTCTACTATGCGTTTCTTTTTTTGAAGAGTATATTTGAATCTCAAGAGCAACGGCGTATAACGATTGAGATAAAAAACGAAAAACAGTCTTTGTTATTTTCAATGCAATTGTTTTTTCTTAAGGTAAACCGTAGTCTTTAAACAATACAAATATGTAAAGAGAGCATACAATACAGATCCCTTGAAATTCTTAAAGCCCGGTTCTAGGGTATAAAATAGCAGCCAATCAGGAAAATGGTGGAAATTTCAGTTTTCTTGCCACTCTTCACTTCAGGGGATATTTTTTTTAATTTGGCTCGAGTGTCTTAGAGGATCCCCGGAGCAAGCATACCGTGTTGATCGGTCACACCCGCCGTGAGCCCTATCTAAGATTTGATCAAGTAGACGTAAATTTCCCTAGTCAATTCAGTGTAACAACAAAAGCCTAGAATAATTTGTATGAAACATGTATTTCAAAATACCATCCAATGATAGTGTAACGTTTTTACATAATACAAATGATTAATAATTGGATTCGCATAGATTTCTTTCCTAAGAATCTCGTTTATAATATAAAATCGAAACGAACGTCAATAGCAATGGCGAACAACTTACATAAATTCATTATATAATATATTTTTCCTCGGTCCAATTTGTATAATGATTAGCAAACTAATTAAAACGAACTAGAACAAAATAATCACTTATAATCAAACCAATAATCAAATATAAAACCCTATTTCTGTAGCTGCAGACTGACTGGTATAACGAACAATTCTGTTGTTTCCCGACTACCCAACTTCACCAAAATCAAAGTACTGAAAGTACTGATGGGATTTGATTATTAAATTAATCCGATGTATGATTGATTGATTGCATATTGTCTAACGTCCCTCTTGAAAATGTTTCACTTATATGGAGATACCACCACTTGTCGGTGGAGAGCTGCAAATTTTTGTTCTATACTCGGCACTCAAGGCCATTGAGCAGGGAGATATCTTTTTTGTTCAAGCACCAGGGAACCAACTAACCCTAACCTCTGCGACCAGGGACCTTGGTTTATACGGTCTCACCCAAAGGACCGGTCTCCATTTCCTTTGGTGGGATTCGAACCCGAATTCGATGTATGTAATCTTGCCCAATTTTCAAATTACACATATATATTGATGCTTTTTGATTAGGTATGTGAGCAGCAAATGCATAAGAGGATTTTGCGATCCTACAGAGTCAAAGCAGTATGGTTTGTTCTAATTTAAAAATAACTTAAATGACATGCAAAATCTTGTTTAGATTATTCCATTTTCCTTACATATTTCGTCATTTATCTTAGAAGAGGGTGTGAAACTTGTACTTTCAATTTTATAAAAAGATGTTTTAAGGTGAAAATAACATTCAAGACAAATGAAAAAAAATGCAGTTGATTTAATTTGGTTATGGGGAAATACTAATATGGAAATTAAATGTTGACATAACGTGATGAAATCGTGACTAAAATGGACAGCATTTCTTGATATAATGTAATTTTATTTTTGTAAAATCAAAACAAATACAATCTAAATTGGTGATAAGAAAATACTTGGTATATATTTCACAAATATAGATTTGGATTCACAATATCCATCTAGGAAAAGACTGACCTAGATATCCAAGCCCATAAGTATAAACCAGTAGAGCTTCTTTCTCGACAGGGACTTTTGGTTAAATTTATAATTTTATATTTTTGAGACCGATTACTGTGAAATCTAATTAAAATTGCAGCGAGACATTTATTAAACCACAAAGCAACAAACATACATGTATGTCTTTGGTCTTTTTTCCCAAAATTTGTGTTAGAGGGCAATTGGATCCCTCATCATCAATCCACGTCCTTGAATTACTTAATGTGCCGACAATTTGCAAAAATCTGGTTCCATTCTTAATCTTGCTCAGTCAACAGTCATCTAATCATGCTAATTATTGATTCATTCACTGTACTGTATGATTCCACAATTGTCCTTTTAAAAGATAAGCAAGCTTCATAAATTACACATAAAAAATCAATCCTGTGTATACTTTTTTAAAACTACTATCATTCAGGACACAAAAGTAAAAAGCGAGAAGTTATATTTATCCACGCAGCACTGCAGGTCACTTTTGCAGCAGTGGGGAGACCTTACCTAGAGCTTTACACATATTAGAGATTCGCAAGCACACAATTCCCACTGAGTTATCAGTCAGCCCGAGTAAGGTGCATTCGTAAACAGAACAGCTAGCCTTGACATCTTAGTTTTGTTTTCTGTATTCCAGATTGCCTTTAAATTTTACAGTACGTCTTATTATTAAGCCAATTGCTTTATTGTCTAAAAATAATGTAGCAAAACTTTTTTTGTTTTGTTTTAAAAATAATCACCAGAATACCATCATGTTTTCTCCTCATACTGCAGACACTTTATTTGGAGGGAATTTCCTGTCTTAAAATTAGAATACATGCACGATGTATCAATACATATCGGAATCGGTATGATTAATAAGGTGAAAGATGCTTATGAAGAAATTGAAATGACAGACTAAAGTTGAACAAAGAGCAATTGTTGACAATTGTCAAGAATTATATTTTCTTTAAACTAAGTTTAATGCGGAACTATTTTCTTATTCGCAATGCGCATTTTCCTTGGCGGCTGTTTGTCATTTTTACTTTCTGACCCACTGACTACGGAGAGTTGATATAATCAACTCCCAAAAATCACCTAGACATCACCAAGACTCAATATAAATTAAGTCAAATTAGGATGTGATATCTAATCGAAATTATTTCTTTGTCGTGATAATGTTTTAAGATAACATGAAGCCAGGAAAACGGCATATTCAATATTCTGGTAAGTTAAAATTCCCTCAACATACGACATCAATAACAAGTAAAACCCGTAAATGATTAATGCTAGTTGGATTAGATGCTGTCTATTCCCTAGCCTTTTTATGCGCCCGGATTGATAGATCCGAGGCGTATATTGTTTTTGTCCCGTCTGTTTGTCTGTTTATCTGTTTGTCTGTTTCCCTGTCTCTCTGTTGTCAACTTTAACCTTCGCCATAACTTTTGAACCATAAGAGATAGAGACGTCATATTTGGTATGCATACTCTATTAATAAAGGTCTTGCAAATGACACCAGAATACCATCATGGCAATGACCTTGTGACCTTGACTGTGACCTATATTCTAAAAATAACTTTTTCGAACTTTTGCCATAACTTTTGAACCATGAGAGATAGAGACTTAATTCATATTTGGTATGCCTACTCCACTAATACAGTTCTTTCAAATGACACCAAGGTCAATGATCTTGTGACCTTGTCTTTGACTTATCTGCTAAAAATAGTTTTTTTGAACATTGTTGCCGCCGGGCGCATAGTGTTTCACAAACACATCTTGTTAATTCGACTATTTCGTTTCAGATGAGTTCAATCTAACAGGTTCCCTTCCAGCAGCAATACTGGAGGAGTCTTTCACTTGGACATGCGCTATGTTTTTACCACCAAGAGAGGTGACACATGCTGTTTCTTTTTCAAGGAATAACACAAGGATTGGTTCTATAGGTTACATGAACGGAAAATGTTTAACTGCAGATCTCAATCCAAGGTACATTTACCTTTGTGAATCTGAGAACGTGTTTTCTTTGGTCATTCCCTCCGAGAATATGACAGAGTATGAGGCAAACACGACTTGGAGATGTCAACATTTTAGTAATGGATTTTTCAAAAGTCCAGAAGTCATGCTTAAAATTGGAGGTGACTAATGTCTACAAGATGTCTACAAATTTTGTTTTACACGGAAATCAACGGTAAATAATTTCTAGCAGGAATTTAGACAATGTTATGGTGAAAAAAAAAACATTTTGACATTTGTGAAAATTTGTCATGTTATCCACATTTATATTGATGTACTGACTGCATAAATACGACTTTGAAAAGTTTCCAATGATTTACATTTTCTTTGACGGGTCAACAATTTAATTTAAAAGAAAAAAAAAAGATAACAAAGACTAACATCTGAGAACATAAGAAACATAAGTCATGATAAGTTCAGCACTAAGTTTTAAATCTATAAGGTGTCCATTTTTTTATGCCTGTAATATGATATTTAAGTCTTCTCCAAAGAAAAATGTGATATTTATCATCTGTGTTTTTTTAAAAATTATTTTTCACTAATTCTTAAATAACTCCAACTGAAAAAGGCATGGCCTGTACCTTAGCAGAATTGAATTCCCCTTTTTAAGCGGTTAGCTTCGCTAGCCGCTATATGGCATGTGTCGGCAACCGGAAACCTCCATAAGGCGCTACCTATGAGCAAAAACTTTTCCGAGCTTTTCCGATCTTTGGCGGAAATACCCGAAAGTCTATGCTGAATTATCTGGGGTTACATGCAGAAATGCAGGGGCAAACTTTGCAGTGTCTACCTAGTACCCCTGCTAGTACCTATGATTTGTTTCTACACATATAACATATGTTAAATAAAATAAAGACTATCAAAACAACATAATCTTTGGGTTTTTTAAATTTTTTTTTCTGATTTTGTTTGTCAATGAAATAAATTTATAATTGTTGTATTAAAAAAGTTTATGTATAGAAGCATTTGTATCGAGATTAAATTTCCGTGACATCAGCTGATGGCGATCGGGCCCTGTGACGAAATTCGAAGTCAGCATGGAGTTAAGATGATAACATTATTAACGTGATAGATTTAAACTTTAGGAAGAAATGTATAGCGAGAAATATATTTGAATCTAATGCTACAAGAAAACCAGTAGGCATTTCCGATTTATGTGTTAAATTGAAGCCTGAATCGAACAGGGGGTCAAACTGGCGTTGGACGCCTTGTGTATTTATATATAGAGGGGTAGAATGTTTCGATATTTGGCTAATTTAGAGACTTATTGATAAAAATTCAAGTGCCTGTGATTAATTATAAGGCTACTCTCATGAACAATAAATATTTGACCGAATTATGCTACTGGGCACAGGGAGGACGGGTTAATGACTGGTTTAAGGGGTTGAAGGTTATTACCAACTGCAAAACATCGGAGAATCTCTCAATCGAGTTTCATTTTCCAAAATATGAAGGCATACCTTTAATTAATTTAAGTTATACTAGTACACGAAGAACGCCTTTATATTAAAATACAGAAGTAAGTTGTACAGTTATGGATTACTTCCATAATGAAACGTTTCTTTTCGTCTCCTTTTTTCTCAATTGAAATTATTTAAAGCCATATATGGCGTAACTGATCAAAAAAATATATTTCTGTGAAAATCAAAATTAAGTAAAGAAATATAGTTAATACATTTAAATTAAAGCTTTTCGTACAATTCTGAACACGGAAAGCACCTAATAACACGATTTTATATTCTCTGTAATGTGTTATTTAAATCTTTTGTATTTTCTTCCGAGTCGGAGAAAATTCTAAAAATCCAAATTAAATTGTGATATCTTTGTAATGCAATTGGTGCTTAGATTTTGTAATTTTCGGAAAAGTTCTATCTTTATATAAAGTAATGATACAAATAATACCGGGTAAGTTCTTATAATTTTAGTCTAATAATTTTCACTGTACATACGCCATATATGGCTTTAAAAGATGATAAAAGCTTTGTTTCCAGGGAAAAATTCATTTTCAAAAAGTGGGAATAGATAGAATGAACCCACCTGCTGACCCGCAGTGAGCTCTCTGAAATTACCGTTTTTCTCAGACTAGCCAGCTAAAGATCTATGTACAGTACTCCAAATCAATTAATCTAAAGAATTTGAATTATCATTTTATTTTCTTTTTGAGTTGTTTGCTTCAGAGCCTTTATAGTTATCTAATTTCAGAATCAATAGAGAATGAAAGCCAATAAAATTGGCAACACCAACCTATTTTTTTTTCGTTCTGAGCACTTTTGGACGCCACCAATGGAGATAATTAGGGAGATAATTTCTGTTTTTCAAACTGAAAATCGCAGGTTGATATTTTGAAACGAACATTTATGACATCAGTCTGGGATGTTATTGGTTAAACCATTTAGTTAAGTACTACAAAATTCATTGTGTCTGCTTCTTCGCTGATGACACTGGAAAAAGATATGCATACCTACTTTATATCATCATTCAATGTATTTTTTGTGATTGTACACTGTACATATTCGATGAAAGCATGCTAACCGCTTTTCAGTACTTTCAGTACTTTGATTTCAAAGATGCTTTGTAGCAAGTTAGTTTCAAATTGGTCCAGTAGATCTCGAGAAGATAATGAGGACGAAAATTAAGGGAAAGGCTCACTTGAGCCTTTGGCTCAACTGAGGTAAAAAGTTAAATAGATTACCTTTATTTTCAATCATTACAGTTTTCGTCCAGAACGTCACAATTATACCAGTGGATAGTCCTCTTACGCTGAGAGAAGAAACAAAACTTACAGTCACGTGTTCTGTCAATAACAACGCGTATCCTCCTCCTACTATACAGTGGTATATCGGGGATACATTGGTCAACATGACAGGAAGAAATGTGGAACTAATAGCTGACAGAGACATTGATGGAAAAGTGTTACTCTGCATCGCCACCAATAACAACAAATCACTCAGTGCATCAACAGTCTTAAATATTCTGTGTACGTAAGATTACATGTTAATTCATATCAATATTCAGTAGCATGATTGAACTTTTATAAAGAATGTAAATGCATTCATGTTGAAGAAATTGTTTTATATTCTTAGATAAACCTATCATAAATATTGCCCCATCCCCATTACTTACCGTTAACCTTGGGGAAACAGTATCAGTCAACTGTGTAGTGGTGAAGTCTAACCCTACAAAAATACTTGAATACGCATGGTCAATACTGGGACAGGAAAGGATCATTGGTAGAGAATCTGACCTCACCATCTTTGATGCTTCTTTAAAAGACAATGGGACTTTTCAATGTAGCGCCAGGAACAGTGTTGGGACGTCTAAACTATCATTTGTAACAGTGATTGTTCGCAGTAAGTTGACATTGGTTCCATAAAATATGATTTTTTTTATCAAAGGAAAAGAAGTATTTATTGCATGGTTGATTACAAGATCTGTATTTTTTCAAAAGTGGTACCTCCGCGGCCACAGTATGTCAAAGCTCTTTGCTGTGATACACATGCTGACATTGTATGGGTGACATTACTATCTGGGCACGTAGAACAAAAATCGTTTATACAGTTCAGGGAATCACATAGTACGTTCTCCAATACAACAACTGGTTTGATCTCTACACAGAAGAAAGGACTCTACACAGCCAGAGTGAATGATTTACTCGACAATATATACATCTTTAGAGTTATTACAGTGAATCAGTATGGTTCTGTCAATTCCATAAATGCTTCATGCAGGGTACAAGAAAATCAAGGTATAAGAAGTTTATACCTGCATTTTAAAATGAAAGTTGGGATAAATATTTGTTTTCTTTTTATGACCATCAATTTGTCATAATATCTTCCTTCTCCATCTACGAAGAAGTAGCCATCTTCATCTTTTAGGAAATGTTGACAGTGTTCTGTAAGGTCTCTGTGAAAAGAATTGATGTAGATGTACATTATCGAATTAGATTTTATAGACTAATGAGGAAGGTCATATTTCCCTACAAGCCCATGTTCACAGTACTGCTTTTGCATTTTTGCTCAGTAGGTAGATCATATTTGAAGCATGATTGGAGTTGTTCTTCAGTTACTAGTAAGCAGTAAGGTCATTTTTTCTTTATTGCATTCTTTGAGCAATGTGACCTTGTCAGTGTCATACAAAATAACTGGTGCAGTATTGTATTGTATCGTATCTAAGGACAGCTTCTTTTATATAATGAAACATATGGAGTAAAGAAATTTATCAAGATCAAAGTCCATATTTAAAGAACCTTTATAACCAAAAAATGTATAGGTTATCAAAAAGGATACTGAATGTAGACTAGAGAATTTGAGATTATTAAAGCATTAATTAAAAACGGGAAGTATATTTCTCCTTTCTATTTCTCTGGTGAAGGTCAATCAGCTCCCAATGTCTCTACCACAGTTGGTGGAACAGTCGGTGGTTTGATGGTTTTAATATTGGTTGTTGTTACAGTGATCATCATCCTAAAACGTCAGAGACAACATAATTCAGGTGCAGCTTAATTAACGTATCGCCAATCCCCGCCCATCGCGCCATGGGAGATAACTCCAATGATGCTCCGACATCATCAACATGGCGAGTAAGTCGACGCCGGTTGACTTGTCCGAAGTTTCTGATTATTGAGCCCACTTTGAGACACAAACAAGGAACAAATGCTTTTACAATGGGTATATATATTTATATATTCATTCACTTAAAATTCCGTATTATCCCTGTCTGAGAAAGTTATCGAAGCGTGAGAAAGTCCGAGTTCCCTCATACTGTAAACTGTCGACGAAGGAAGAAAAGTAAAATTAAGTAAATTACAGAAACTTATTACGACTGCAAAGCTAGGTAAATTATAAATTACAGCAAAGGCCTTTAATTCAATTTGCGATGTAATAAATGTGCAATAATACAGGACCCACACGACATTGTCAAGACTTGCTTTTAGTTTCTTAGACTTTGAGTACGATCATTTGATTCTGAAGGGAGGGGCGGGGGGCTAGCCGAAAAGGAGTTGAGTCATTTTGGAAATAAATAATGATCTGTCCTCTACTGGAAGGAAATAAATAATCTACCCCCACCCCATCCCACGAATAAGGGTTGTCGACGATGTTTTTTTAAATTCTATTTCTTTATCTTTTTTTGCTTGTTAGAATTTCATAAAAGAAGAGGATAATAAATAATTAATCTGCCAAAGGAAATAAATAATCCATCCTTTACCGACAGGAAAATTAATAATCTGACTCGGAAAAAATCGCATCCCCCCCCCATTCCAGAATTAAATGGTCGTCCCAAAAAATTCTCCGGAAATTTCGACTTTGGAAAAACAGTTCTAAGCAGCTTGTTTGTCAGTCACAGTTAATCTGTAAGTTGGTTATATTTTTTTATGGAGAATTTTTTCTTCTTTACTTTTAAGTTCTGGTGAAAAATGTGCACACGTTCTAGATAGCAGTAGGTACACGGTGAAGATTTAGATTGTAGCCAGAAATATATTTCAAATCTAATATATATACAAAGTTCACGTTTTTCTGGGACAACCATAGTATACACTGTATAGTACAATTTTACAATTGTATTTATAAATATCCTCCTTATTTCATTCGGACTAATTCCTTAAATCATATATAGAATCTTGCTTTTTTTTAGATATTGAATATAATACCGGTAATGACATTTCTTTATAATGAAAATAAATGAAGTCATTAAATTTTTATCAATAATTTCGACATTTTTCCAATGTATGACGGTGTTCTCCATAAATAAATACTAGTAATGGGGGCATTAAAAGTTAATTTTTGTGATAAAATAGAATCATTTTATTGGATTAAATCTGATTTAATTTTTTTTTAAATGCGTGAAAATAAAAGTTTATTCACATAATCATGCATATTGAATAAAAACTTAAAAAAAAATATATAGTAACTATCAGACACGAGTCGACAATATAATAAACACGATAACTGAAATTACTAAGTCAAAAAGCTTATAGTTATCTTTTAAAATAAATGTGTACTTATTTTGACAATAATTTTGAAGGTAAAATATGTAGAAGTGTTGTGAACTGATGACGTTTAGATATATTCTTATGCATATGTACATGCATGTTATATTTAAAAAGATCGAAGCACTCCCTTTCAATATTAAAAAAAGTCATGTTAAACGTGAAACGGCTGAATATAAGTTGCATATGATTGATATATTTCCGTGATTTTCAAGTAGAAACATATAGATTAAGTTGTCAGAGATTGGAAATGAGGAAAGAAGAATCAGAATTTTTTAATACCGGTATTGAAAAGGGGGGATGTCCACGAGCACCTATGTATGATACTGTGCATAGATTTATCATTAATTTACACTCAATTTTTTGTGTATCTTTATCAATCTAAGAAAGTATAAATGTATAAACATGAAAAAACAAGTAAACAAGTTTTATTTCATTTCCTGACCAAAATATTTAGAAGTCCCGATTGACCCGAAACGTGGTGTCAGGTCCCGAAACATCGGCGTCCCGAATCATCGCGGTCCCAAAACATCCATGATTCCCTTTCGGGATACCTGTCGTCAGTGTTACACGTTTCCAAACTGAATCTCTTAACGATAATGGACTTATTTGTGCAGCTTCTTCGCTGTCGACTGCTCACCTCACTGCGAGTGTTTGTCGGAGCATATGGCGGAGCAAGTATTTTCTGATCGCGCAGAATAAACAAAATTATTTCATTGGTTGAAAATTTGTTGTGATTGACAGCTGGCGATACGTTAATTAAATCGTATCATAAAACATTGAAGGTTTTTGTTACATTGGTATAACTATTTTCAATACATATATATTATTATAACAGTAACTTGATCCGAAGGGTCGTATCACGTCGAGTTGACCGGCGCGGATCATTAGATCTAACGAGACGCGAAGCGTCGAGTTTGATCTGATGATCCGCGCCTGTCAACGAGACGTGATACGGCTCTTCGGATCAAGTTACTGTTATAATGATAAATTTATTATATACCCCCTCACAACTAGCAAAATATAGCAAAAGAAAACTTTAGAGATCAATTGCATAACATTTTTCCATAAAACAAAGCAAAATAACAAGGGACTTTTTAACGCGCAAGAAGAATAACGTCATTTTTCTGCGTACTACGTCATCAGTTTCAGAGAGTGGTGATATGGATTCAGAAAACAACATGTTGTTGATCCGGAAAATCGGATCACGACGTCACGTGATAGCGCAAATTCAACAGTAAAAGTGGGTGATACACATTAGGTATATAATAATAAGACTTATCTTTGTTTGCAGAAAAAAGAACTCTGAAAACGTCAAGGTTAGTTAACATTTTCTATAGTCAAATGTATCGTTATCTTTTCTAGTGTTATTATCACGACATGGAGTAAATACAATGAAACTAGAGCAGATTTTCTTTGTAATATTTCAGTGGACAAAGAAAGCATGAAACCCAAAATGACGATGGTTAAGAGGCCCATCAGTACCACGTTATATCAAAAGGTATATTTTATACAATCATAGTCTACTTATGATATTTCAGATTAAAACTATAACATTCAGAATGATGATATAAAATTATAACATTCAAATTGACGATATAAAACTATAATATTTTAAAAAAGCCGAATAAAACAATGTAATATCAAAAGTACATATTATCTGTATTATTGAATTTGCACAATGCATGTTACTATAACATTTTTAAATGTATTGCTGTTCTTACTTTCTTTTTCTCTTGTAGATGTGACTGCCAATTTGGAACCGTAAGTATTTAGCTATTATATAATGTTCAGCAATTATTTTATTTTTTCCATCATTTAATTACAAAAAAATTTTATGAATTATTTTCAATTTTAGACGTAATGAGTATGAAGAAATCAAGAGTAAAGGTAATATCAAAACATACATTGAACTGGAGGAAACAAACCCAAGAAAAGAAGAAAAAGGGTCTGATGGTATGTAGTCAGTAGATTAATACAGTACTCAACAATGTTAATATTTTCTCAATATATTAACATCGATAAAAGTATGACCTTACCTAATGAATATAAAGGTGCACGGACACAGATTTGAAGTTAATATTTTCTGTATAATGTTGCACCTTATGTATTTTAATAGCATTTCACACAAAAAATATATACTGAGTATGGCGTGATGTTATAGAGAAAATATTAACTTCAAATCTGTGTCCATGCACCTTTAAAGTAGGAAAACAATTTACGTGATCATTTTGTTTTTTCACAGTCTTTGATAATTCTCAGCTGCATTGAGCAGAAAACTTACTCCTTCTGATTTTTTTCTTCCAGATTTAAACGCCTATTATTCTAACGCATCTTGAAACAAGAAAGACGAGAGAAACCAATGCTCTGACAATTACATATTATGTGCACCAAACGGATAATTTTATATTGACTCATTATTTATTGTGTCTTTTAATGCATTTAATTAAAACGCCGATTTTCAATGTCAGATTCATTTCATACTCAACAGATTTAAATGGTGAAAATAACAAATATTGATCATTATCATAGATAAAATAAATAAAAAGAAAATATTATCAAGAAAAAGCAGACTCCTGGACAAATAAGGGGTAGGAAAGGTCAAGAGGTCAAATTTGGTAGTACCAGAAGAAAGGTCTTGTCACAAGGAATACATGCACTTGTGAAATACTAAAGCCATAGCCCCACCCACTCAAAAGTTATGGACACAGTTAAAGTTTTAGCCTGCTGTCCAATCCCATTCACTTTGTGAATAAGATTTTGTATAAGTAAACAAAGTAAGTATCTATTTTTAAATTTTGTTCATAATGTGAACACAGTATAAAACGTATAGAAACATGATAAGAATGGAAGGTTTTCCCAAAAGAATTAAAGTAGTTTGATATTTTTTTCCCAAAAATTTCCTTATTTAATTTACATTTGCTATACTTTCTAACTCTACATCAAAACAGACAGTACATTGTTTTATATGCTTACACATCCTATATTCAGTTTTAAAAATGATTTTAAAATATTCAAAACAGATTACTGTTCATTTCATCCATAATTCCTTTAACCTTGTTTAGTATATTTTGTGTAATATCAGTTTTTTACTTTTCCAAAAACCTTGTTAGAATTCATAGTATAAGAAACATTCAATTTGACCTTTAAGCCTTGACCTTGGATTTTGACCTACATTTGAAAATTTATAACCTTGAACATAATTTTTAAAAGCAGTTTCGTTAAGATCTTTCATATCTCAGAGTTGTATTCTTTACCATAAATTCTTTTGATAACAACATTTCTTTTCTCTAGACATTGATGTTTGACTTGCATTTACCAACTTTAATCTTTGCCACGAGCCTCCATACCAGGACATAAATGTTTTACAAAATTAAAATTTTATCGCCTTTGTACATTATTCAAGCATGCGTTTTAAAGATATCGTAATGTACAATACCATCTATTTTTTAACAAAAAATTTAACGGCGATAAATATAAACATTGTCGAAGATTAGGGTACACAAACACGGAAGTTTTTCACAATAAAAAGCAAATAATAATAGTGTATCACGAGTAACTCCTTTATAAATAATGGCTCTTCTCGCAACATTATCGTTTATATTTGGATTCCTCTACACTACACTTGGTATGTACTTTGAAAGACAATTAAATTTGTCTAACCTAATTTTTAATGTGCATTCATTCTCAAATTCTTTATAGATATATTTCTTTTATTCCGATGTTCAAAATATTCCAAAATTTTATGAATGAATAATGGTATCTACTATAAAACAAGATTGATTTAAGATGTTTAAACAAGACACATGTATTTAAAAAAAATGGTTATGTATGGAATGGACAAACACGTTAATTTCGGATGAAAAACTTGGTGTAATTAAAACGAAGCAGTTATATACAACATATAATATGGATATCACTACTCGTATACTGGTATGAGCAATAAACGTTATCCAAAGTATTGTAAAATTATCTTACCGACGACATGGATAAGTAGGGAACAGTTAAAATTTCCTTTGACCACGTTAATTAGTACACACTAAGTAGCTGCATAGATGACGCTTTTTGTTGTAAGCAGGAAAAGCCCATAATATGTTTTAACATCAACCGTGTGCCGTTTGCCATAATTAGATAATTGAGAAATACGTAATCAATTCAATAGAAATAATAACCCTAAAATTTGTATGAAATTTGTTACTCAATATTCAACCTATTACGATAGATTGCATTGAAAACAATTTAAGGTCATTGTATCGTTTGTAAAATTTGCAAAACTTGACTTCCAACAATATTGTATGTACCCTTGTATTATCAACTTGTTTTCATTAACCTGCCCCGCACTACTCGCACAGTGTTTATACTAAGGCATAACTAACAGGTTTATTAAACTTTCGCCTTTTTTAAGGGAGAAAAAAGTCACATCAAAACCATCTGGTCAATGCGTTACGTCGAGGGAATATTGAATATCTGAGGAAAATTTGAGAATTAAATTTGAATCAATAAAATCAAATATTAAAAACAAAAAAATTGGTATACTAAAATTAATACTAATTTTATGAAATAAGAAGACAAGTGCCCGAGATAATTTAGGTTCGCATGGTTATTTAACTCTTACGGCTCCTGTGTTTTGATCAAATGTTAAGCATTTGTAATTCAAAAAGTTATTTAACGATGAATATGGATCAGTTTAAGGGTAAATATTCGTTACTGATTGACTACGTAAATTATATGCAGATATACTTACTGGTAATTTGGAATCATAATACTTTCTTTACTCTTCAGGAGTGCATTATTAGCATTGCTTTTAAACGTAAAGCTTTATGAAATCTTTGAATTCCATTAGATAAGAATTATTAATCTTTTATATGACTTCCTCAATATCAATTGTGCATTTACCATATTTTCTTCAAAATTGCAAATTTTAATAAGAGTATTTTTATATAAAAAATATAGACCACATGAACTTTAGAGTAAGATTATCTGTTGGACGATAAGTTTCTAATAAATACAATAATATAAGTAGATTAAAAAACAGTATTCAATCTCAAAAGTCAGATGAAACAATACAGATTTGGAGCAGAGCAAACTCGGACCTAAAAAATTAAAGATGGGATCAGATGCCCTGGAGGAGTGAACATCCCCTGCTGACTTGTCCCACCCGCTTTGTGCTCCTTGTCATGATTGGTGAGAAACGGGAAAATCCGGTAGACAGTTCAATGTAACAATGTAACAAAAATAGCCTAACAATAAGTATGAAAAACATCGGTCAGAATTTGAATCAGTATAGGTTTTATGTGATGAAAAGGTCATTATATCATCCTTGAAACCTACCTATGAATCAAATGTGTAAGACTCTGTGGATTTTTTTTTATGCTGACAGACGTTTTTCATACTAATTTTAATCCATTATTTATACATCCAATTGACGAATGATTTTTCCTAATTTTTTCTGCTAATGACAAGAGGCACACGGCGGATATGACTGGTCGCCAGGGGATACTCACTCCTCCATGGCACCTGATCCCACTCCTGATGTTTTGTAGGTCCGTGTTTGCTCTGCTCTTATTTTGTATTGTTTTATGGACTTTTTATCTTGAATACTATTCGTTATCTCCTAATTTCAAACCTACTGTGATATATCGAGTCGACATATCAATGGAAGTAAAAACATGTATTTTTGATTGATAATACGTTGTCGATAATATCAAAATGTTTTCTTCTTCTCCTCATGTAGAGGTTTTTGAATAAATTCTGCTTCATACGAATACATAAATAGGTCTGTTAATCACAGGGCGCAATGGAAATTCCGACAGATTGTTGGAAGACATGGTCTCCAAAAACTACATATACATGTATATAATAAACCAGAAACTCAAGATCCTTTTTATATCAACTTTAATTTGTACAAACAGAATGCTTTTAACAAAATAATTTTGCAAATGACCAGTGACAAGGTAAGTATATATACTAGTTTCGTTTTTATTGGACAAGCAGCTGTCTATAAAATCAGAAAGTCTGGACTTCAATGCATGGTGGGAAATGGTTGTAAAAAGTGATTCAAATCGTACGTTTTGATGTTATTGATTTCAGCAAAATTTTGTGATTTCAAATTTTCTAAAAGTTCCTTGGATTTTATAAGTATCCACATCTGATTGACACCACTTCTCGAATGTGCTGTTGTACAGTTCTCGTTGTACAGTACTCCTAAAGTAGTTTTTCCTTCAATGCAATAAATATTTTAATAGTAAACAGATATAGAAAAAAGCAGAGTTAACACGAGATATCTTTGCCGTCTTCATTTCAAATTGTACAAGAAAAGGGCTACTTTTAAAATTGGAAAGAGTAGAAGTGTATGTTGATATAGATATTTGTATATTAATTTTATCATTACTTTCCAGGTCAGTATAATTTAACAGGTTCCCAACCGGCAGCAATACTTGGAAAAACGTTCACGTGGAAATGTTCAATGTTTCTACCACAGGGACAAACAATAAAAGCTGTTGATTTTTACTGAAACAACTTAAGGGTTTGAACGGTAGGTCAGTTACAGAATGGCACCTGTGTTTCCGTTGATATGAACCCTCGGTACACCTTTCATTGTGAATCTGATTTGGTGTATTTGTAGGTTATAACATCTGAGAACATGACCAAAAATGAGGAAAACTCAACATGGCGTTGTGAATATTTTGGTGATGGAACATTTAGAAGTCCTGACATAACACTTAGAATAGCAGGTGATCGCATTTCATCAGTTACTGCATGGATATTAGACGGTGCTCGGCCATACAACGGCCTATCCTTGAAAGATGTCTTTTTTATGGGTTTAATACCAGTAACATTATCCAGCGATGGGGTAAACGATGAGAAACCGATGCGTTTTTTGATAAAAATGGCATGATTGCCGGCCGGGCACCACAAGTGATCGGACGGTGACTTTGGCAAATTTGTAAATCGGTGGGGTCATCGGTAGGAAATAATTCGTAGTTAAAATTCAGCGATGTCTCCAACGATGTCTCACATCACTCCTCATCGGTAACCCATCATTAACACATCTTTCAAGGATCGGCCGATGTATGACCGAGCATCGTCCAATATCTGTTGAATCAGATGTCATCGGGGAATTTGAGTGGTGTTCAACAGAAAACTGCCGATCACCGGTCGATTTTCGACCAAACATTGGCCCGTAGTCGACCGACGAACGAACGATGTTTATCAATGTATGAGCGATGTAATATACATCGGCCGATTATCTTGGAACATCGTTTTTTGATCAGCAATGCATCGCTCGGCCTTTGTAAGTCCGGCCGACAACCACGCCATTTTTATCATAAAACGCATTGGTTGCCCATCGCATACCCATCACTGGATAATGTGACTGATACTCTAAAGATTAGTAGGCATGTTGGGGCATTGCTAACACCAGGAACCACTGATTACCAACGGTCTGCAACTAACGGCCGGGAAATGTGACCTAGGCATTTACGATGAGGAGCGACGTGAGGCATCGTTTGAGACATCGCTGAATTTCAACTACGAATTATTTCAAACCGATGACCCCACCGATTCGCAAAATTGCCCCAGTCACCGTCCGATCAATTGTGGTGCCCGGCCGGCAACCATGTTATTTTTGTCATCTCTCACGAGAGATGACACATTAAGTTTGATTTCCGGATGTGGGGTCCCAGTGTAAGCATCCATTAAAAATCGGTAAGCCTCGGATGATTACTCTCGTGCGGGGCAAGAACTATCCGAGGAGCACCGAGTGGTCACTTTGATGATGCGATTTTCTAAATATAGAGCGGTAAACAATGAGCGATCCAAACATTGAAGGAATCACAGAGGGCCAGACACACTATATCGCCTGCTGGTTGTTTGCATGGTGTTCAAAATTTATGTACTTATTTAATCATCTACATGTTTACATGTAGGCTACTGCGTAAATGATCTATGGTCTGCACCAGATGGAATATTCTAACTACATGTAGGTCAGCGCGTTGAATCACAAATGATCTGCTGAGGCTTGGATCCAAGAATTAACAGAAAAACAACATTGAAATTAATACATTTACATTTAGTACTATAAACTGTTATGAATTGATGTCGAAAACTTTTTATGGTAAGGGTCATTCTATAATTTATTGCCATTTTCTCACAAAAAATACATGTATGGGGATAAGAAGAGACAAGAATATATTTGAAAAAATACGAGCATTGGAAGAAATTAAACTCACAAAGATTATCGAGTATTTTCTTGAATGTTAACAGTTTTCTTTTTAACCATATACCCCGGTATAATAAAAGAACTTGCAATCATTTTTATACAATTTTCAATTGTATTAGTAGCAAAAAAGTAATCAAATCACCTTTTCTAATTTATTGAAATGAAGCCAAAATTATAATATATATTCCTAAAACAGTCGTAAATTCAGGGTTTGCAAATTTGGATTTTTTCCAGATAGTTCTTAAATGCTGAATTTTAGCTGATACCTATCGTATTGCGCTAAGTGGAACTTGGTCAGCTGTTGTTAATATCTTGAATGTGTTTTTAAATAAATTAACAAATACAAATGAATCTTAAATTCTTTTAGTTATAATAATATTATGTGATTGTAATTTAAAAAAAAAATCCCAGAAAATATGAATTGCTCATTGATTCTATCTGAATACATGTAGTACGAATGTGTGAAATGAATGACCAATTCATTCTTTCCTTTATGTTTAACTATTTTAAATTGACATCCAAATTTTCTTTTAAAAATATAATTATTCCAAAGTTAGATACATGCCTATATGAAGATTATAATCCTTTCATATACTAAAGTATGAGAATACGATTCAATCTAACGTGTCCCAAAATTAGTAGTTTTAAGATTTTCCATATAAAAGAGTTTTCTAAACACGATTTATATATAGTTCAGTGTGAAATGCTTAAGCATGAATCGTGATATTATTTAGAAAATTTCAGAAAAATATATTTTCTTCAAATCTGAATCCCAGCCCGGCCATTTAACCTTTCACTGTTGTAAATGCATGTTCACTGCAAGTTATCTCCCTTATCTATACTTTTTCTTTTAGTATAGCCATGTCTTCTCCAAATAAATGGTTTTTCAGAAAAAAATCAATAACTTTAAACCTTTCCTTCCCATCTACAACATACGATTTTTGAGTTTGAAAGCTACCCCTTTTCATGTTCAATATCTAATTACCATTCCCCTAAAATAATGATAAAAATATTCTGTCTTTAATAGAAAAATGTTACTTTCCACTGTTTATTCTTTGACACAGATGGAGCCAAAGAGATGACATTTAAGGCTTTCTGGAAAGCCAAACTTGTCATCAAAACACGCATTGGTTTCTCATCGTATACGCCATCGCTCGATAATGTGACATACTTTAGCATACATATCATATGATTTCTAATGTTTAAGGTAGTACGAGTGTGAAATCAAAGTAATGGAAAACAAATGATTTTGGTATTAATGAATACACATATGTATAAGCAATACATGACTATAATATAAAGAAAAAGAGTGTGGCCGTTTGCCTCCTAGTGGTTGCCAAACTAAGGGAGGTAACTCTGTGTGATATTTTCCTTAAAAATATAGTCCGCACACCAACTTTAAAAAATAGGTCAAAATTATGTAAAATTTTAAAATGCTAATTTTTATTAAACATGGAACATCTGTTCTAAAACTTAAACAATTTTAAAAAAATTAACAATTTATAAACTGTGCTTGCTGCGCCACCTATGACGCGTAATTTTTTAAACCAAAATACTAAAGTTGTGGATCTTAATCAAATTATAAAACATAGACAGAGTAATGGAATCATAAAAAACAATTTATTTTCTAAAAATATAATAACAATCAATCAATTTGTCCAAATGTCAGAAAAAAGAGTGGAGTCATTTTGAAAATATTTAACCCGAATTTCCTCTGATCAGCTTTTCTCTGCAAAATTCTCATAAATACAACTGCTCTAAATTTGTCTTCATTTATGATACAATAAAAAAACAACTTAAATGGAAAATGAACATGGTACAATATTCTATAATCTATATATTACCTGAACAATATTCATTTGTTAAAATATAAAAAGTCAATGTTTCATTAAATGTCCTCCATAGCCATCTATATTGTCCAATGATTCGACACAATGAAATATGAGGAATATGAATTTTTATCACAAATTTTACAATATGCAGAGTAATGGAAATAATCAATGCATAGGTTTTACATGAACTTAAACAACAATCAATTATTGTGTCCAAGTTTCAGAAAAAAGAATGAAGCCATTTTGAAAATATTTAGCCAGAAATTCCTCTGATCAGCTTTCTTCTGCAAAATTTTCATGTTTACAACTTCTCTCAAAGTCTTGATCCTCGTTTACATTTCAATAATAAAAAAAAGATCTATAAAATAAAAATGAACATGTCACACCTTTTATGATCTAAATATTACCTGAACAACTTCCATTTGTAAAATTAATTTAAAAAAGTTAATGTTTCACAATGTACATCCTTACAATGCCACCTAGAGATTGTCCATTGACTATAACAATGAGATATGAGAAATATGAATCCTTGTCACATATGTTACTACATGCAGAGTAATGGAAACAAAACATGCATAGATTTTACATGAAATATGACAACAATCAATCAATGGGTCCAATATATATTCAGAAAAAAGAGTGGAGCCATTTTGAAAATATTCAGCCCGAATTTCCTCTGAACATCTTTTCTCTGCAAATTTTTCATGTTTATGACAACATTTTACAAATAACATTTCCAAATGAAAGAAAAAGTGAGCTAGCTCACATACCCCACGCTCCCCAAAAACTTGAAGGTGAAGCACATAATGAAAGGCACAGTGCACTTTAAATACATAGTATAGATCAAAAAGGGCAATGATTGCAAAAAAATCTTCACATCAAAATGTCTTACATATGAGGACATTTAAATGTGGAATGAAGATTCTAGATAAATAATGGAATCAAAATTTCTTGGCATTATACAAATCCAAACATTAATTTGAAGTGGTTGGGGGGGGGGGGAGGGGGGGTTGAGAAATTTACTTGAATAATAGGCAAAACTCTTTGGGATAAAATAAACTATGTACAACAGTTTAAGAAGAGTGGTACTGACAAACTGTTCATCTCTATATTCTAAATATGGCCAAAAAGTCTAAGTTGGAAAGTGTGGAAATTCCTGGAAAAATAATGGAATCAGAATTTCCTGGTAATATGCACATCTACACATTGTGTCCTAAATACCTGCAAAGTTTGACCAAATTCTGTGCAGCGGTTTATGAGGAGTTTCGCTGACCAACTGTTCATTTCTATATTCAAGGTATGGCCAAATCCCTAAGTTAAAAAGTGTCGAAATTCCTGGAAAAAATAATGGAATCGGAATTTCCTGGTAATATGCACATCTACACATTGTGTCCTAAATACCTGCAAAGTTTGAGGAAATTCTGTGCAGTGGTTTATGAGGAGTTGCGCTGACAAACTGTTCATCTCTATATTCAAGGTTTGGTCAAATGCCTAAGTTAAAATGTACGGAAATTCCTGGGAAAAAAATAAAGGAATCAGAATTTCCTGGTAATAAGCATATCTTCACATTGTGTCCTAAATACCTGCAAAGTTTGACAAAATTCTGTGCAGCGGTTTATGAGGAGTTGCGCTGACAAACTGTTCATCTCTATATTCAAGGTATGGCCAAATGCCTAAGTTA